AAAAAAAAAAAAAAAAAAAAAAAAAGGTCAATTACAGTTTGTGTGTTTTTCTCTATGGTATCTATATTATCACCCGGTAGATTCACATCGGCATAGACCAATGCCAATGATATATCAATACTGAATATAGGACAAGATATAAATGAACTCCAAAATACAACCTTGGAAACTACAGGCTTAGTAGAGCAATATTTTGAAACAAATAATTTATCTATTAATCCAACCAAAACACACTACAATTCAACCAGATGAAGCAATGAAGGCAGTGAATTAAAAATCCTAATAAAGAACATGGACTTGGTTAATGTAAAAAATACCCATTTCCTTGGGGCTATAGTTGACAGTAACCTGACCTGGGAAGTACGTATTGAAAGAACCTATAGTAGAATTAGTCATAACTTATTTACAATTAACACTCTCTAAAAAACTTGATATGTATGTAAGAAGAATGCTACATTTACCCCTTCTGGCATATGGAATTGTTTTATGGGGACTGAATGTGAAGGCACTCACCAGACGAATATTTACCCTATAGAAAAGGGCTATAAGGTACATGGCAGGGTAAAACAACTGAAATCATGCAGAGATAGCTCTAGGCAACTAAATATTGTGACGTGTTGCGCTATGCATGACACCCCTCCCCCCGCCAGCAGTGACATATCACCATCGGAGTGCTGTCGTTACCAGGGTAATAGGCAAGTCAACACTCCTTCCCCTACCCCACCAGCGGTGACGTGACCAAGCGATGCCGCGGTTGCTATGCAGCCGGAAACAACTCCCGACAGCGTTGCTAGCAACACAGGGCCAGACAACAGTGGTGCCTATTATGTGGCTGTTTTCTGCGTTGTCCGGAACGGGGCTAAATATGGAGCAGCGAAGACTATTCAAGTTAGTTACGACTTGTAGTTTGTTAAATAAACCAAATAACAATCCGAACGGCGTCTTCAGTAACAAAACACATTACAATATATTAGTAGTATACTTACTATACAGCCAAAAAACAATTTTATATGCAAAAAGAAAAGTGTAACTGCACTGTAAATAAACAAGTACATATTATAAAACGTTAATTAATTCCATCCAATGTGACTGATGAAGTTTTTTTCTCCTTTTTAATATTTCATCCTTAACATGTTTCGGTTTTATAGACAATCTTCAGAAGGATATCAATACAATTAGTAAGCACTATTTCAATATGTATAACAACAAAATGCGTCTCGAAAATCAACAGGACAACACTAAAGAATCCTATTCTCCAAACAAAAGAACAAGGTGGTAGACGCTTGGCTTCCTTCAAAGAGAAGAAATAAAAAGGATATGAACCAATCTGGTTTAAAAATTTTAACAAAATCTTTTTAAACATATAAACTGTAATTTATAAATATTTTAACATATTAGTACAAGCTGACATGTATTATATCATCAGATATAATACATGTCATCATACATATTTGTAGCAATTCTAAAATGTCTGGTATTACATACGGATAATTTGAAAACCTTGAGTGATTATGCCGGGCAGTAGTTAAAACACACACCCCTAATACTGGTCCTTCCAAAGGTTGAAACATGCTGACTGTTTAATGGACAAGTAATATTACGTGTTACTGAATGCTGAGTGTTTAAGGGATAAGTAACATTATGTGTTACTGGATGGTATTATTAAATATGAAAATGCATTAAAACGGTGCGCAAAATAATGTGAAAATGTGTACATTCATTCTACTTACCATTCAGAATCCAGTAGTAGTTGTTGTACATATATAAACGAAAATCTGCAACAAAAATAATGAAGTTCTGTATAGTAAATTGCTGCCAGCTTCATGGCCTAACATTACATATACGGTGTGTTCAGTGTACAATAATCATTAAATCTCCAACACTTCGAATGACTATCTCAGGATGTGCCTACCCACTCACCACGTGACGTATTCATACGATACCAAACACCATACGAAGTTGCAAAAATAACTGCTTCTAACACGAAGAGCGCTTTAGCACCACTACGAACATATTTAAAATACTGAGGTTTCGGACTCTTCTTTAACATACTACCTCCAAATATGTAAAAAGTTGCGAACAACGGCACCGTTTATTGAAATTCTCTACACAGGCTCTGCTACATCCCGCATTACACAGCTGTTCCTATTCCACACGTTCCACACCCAGCATCGCCCAGCATCTCCACGATCTCCACGGAATACAGAACAGAACCTCGGAACGCTCGGAACAATCCACTAACCGCTTGAATTGCTTACAGCAGATTTGCACGGATGTGCATAACTATTCAATGTATACAACACATTAATATCTTAAATTCAAGTGATCCTCACGCTGTTCACGCGTAAGGATAAACGGCTGCTTACTTCTGCCATCTGACAGAGAAAACATGAATAAATATGGTGAAGTAAAGATCACACGGAACCGGAATTACATGGGCACAATTTTCTGGACGTTCTGCGTGAGTAATTACTTGCATTACCTGTGCCGTATTAACAGGTTCTACCTGCGCATAGTTATCTGTGCATGGGATCCATCTATAATACGGATTATACGGAATGAAGACCATCAAGACGATCAAGACTTCCTGCCCGGGAAGTCGTCAGTCCGAACATTTTACATTATCCATGAAGAGATCCGTCTGATCTGAGACAGTTAAATATGGTAGAGAGTCCCAAGGGACTCAGACCCGAGAAAAACTGCGCTGGCAAGGGCCAGCAGCATATACAAAGGGCAGACCCATCCTCTCATCAGAAAGGGCGTCCCATAAAAATAAGACCGTAACTGTCAAACAGTAATAAATATCTTGTCATGAACCCCAGGTNAAAACTGCGCTGGCAAGGGCCAGCAGCATATACAAAGGGCAGACCCATCCTCTCATCAGAAAGGGCGTCCCATAAAAATAAGACCGTAACTGTCAAACTAATAAATATCTGGTCATGAACCACAGGAGGGTGCTCGACACCAAGACTTACTGACTGACTTGCCGTCAGTCGCAATGTGACTTTGACTTTGGCCAAGTCCTTGGGAGGAAGCAAAAGTCATAACCATACCGAATGCCGGTAAGGACCCAAAATTCACATCCGATTAACCTCCCGTCCATAACAGGCAAGCTGTTTAAGAAAGACATTCTGAAAATATTCCAAAACACATTGAAGAAAGAGGCTTGCTTAATTCAGGCCAGTTTGTTTTCCATGCACATCACAGCACGACTGCAATGTACGAGGCTAACAGACCATGTGCTCCTCGATTTCAACAATAAAATGTCTAAATGTTTCTGTATTTATATGACGTTTTCCTCATCCTAGAGTTATTTTAACTAATTTGGATCCAGGGATTGCAATGTAATGTACTTGTAATGTAATTTTGCCTGTGTTCCTGTACAGATTTGAAACTTGCTCTCTGACATTAAGGGAGTAACATAGGCTGAGGGTGTTTGAGAGAGTGGGCTGAGGAGAATATTTGGACAGAGGAGGGATGGTGTGACTGGAGGTTGGAGAAAATTGCATAATCAGGAGTGATCTGAATCGTTAGAGGCAGTTCAAAATGAAAGCAATCAACGGTTTTAGACTGTGTTAGACGTTGTTGGTTTAAATCCATGGATTGTAGATCAGAGTTACTTCAGATAACATTAGAGGCCAAATTTTCATGTTCACATACAAAAGCAGAAGTCAGAATTTTGAATGTGTTGCACTGTAATCTGAAAAGACCACATTTTTTTCAGTATTGATTGACTCAGCCAGTTGTAAAGAGATCATGATTCTGCCCTTGCTTGTCAGATATTTTGATTGCGAATCTGGAGTGAAAATTAAAATATTTGAGCTAAAATCATTGCCTAATGAAATATCTGTTATTGTGATTATTTGAGTGACTGCATGAGGAAAAATGGTTTAGTAGGAAAAGTTTTTGGACTGTGTGCAGATAACACAAATTCTAATTCATGGAAGTGTTCAAAGTAAAGGCCAAAACAGTTTTCACAAAACTGCAGAAAAACCTCCGGCATGGTGTGACAATTCAATTTAATTTATTTTTGTTCATCAGATCTACATTTGGCAATGGCGCCTCCAGATATAGAACACGTCAAAGCCGAGGTTACTATAAAATCAATCCAGAGGGTAACGTCATAAAGATATTACAACTTATATACAAACATGGTTGCAATAACTATTGATACAAGTAAATTTACTGTCATTGTCAACACTATGCTCTACAGGGCCAGACTGAAATACAAATCACATCAATATTCCCCCTTTTTTCCTTTTTTTTTTTTTCCTTCTTACAATTCAAACCCAAAAGGACAATGTTATAATTAAATACAACATTGATATAACACTTGCATTGCAACTTATTGTCATAATAATATACATATTAACATTGTCTATAATAGAGAAAAAGCACATCTAGAGAATTATAGGTATCATACAATAAAAGTTTTTAAAAATGACTAGTGTTGTTCTATTTATCTGTAATTAACACAATCATCCCTTGTTTTCCATTCATAATACTCATCTAAAGAATAAAAAGAGCCCACCTGCAAAAAATTTTTAAGGGAATTTTGAATTTATTTAAGTCTTGCGATAATTTTTTATACTATGTGGTAATTTATTAAATATTCTAATCCCAGTGTAAGATACTCAGATTTGGTTGTGCAGGCCACACCTTCCACAACACTGATTGAGCAGTTACTGGAATTTTGCCTTTTGATGTAGAGATGTTCATCTCCAAAATATATTTGTACTTCAAATCTCACACAGAGTTGAAACTCTGAAGGAGTTATGTGACTTTGTAGAAAGAATTTGAGATGATATTGGGTTTTGGGTGTATTTCTCACGAAAGTGGGCAACTTTTTACCTGTTTCCATTTTGAAAGTTGAAAATTCTCTGAACTATTGAAACATACCAAATTCAAACAACCGTTAAGCTTATAAATTGTAATTAATAAGTAATTTAAAGCACAAGGCCTCAATTTCCAATCCATGTAGTAACAGTGGTATATACTAACCCAGCTGCCGAGAATGTCCTAAAAATATATATGGCAAACTGGTAGAACAGGTAGGAGCATTTCATTTCTTCTCAGCAGTGCAATTTGTGCTCTTTCATTAGGGTGAGAAAACAAGTTTCATGCCCATAGTGATAAGAGAAATAAAAAAGAATAGGTAAAGTCAGTGTCGTGTTTCAATCTGTAGGCTTTTGGATAGGAAACAGAAAGTGGGAAATGGGTTCTGAACTGAATTAATATAATTTAATCTACTGTTATCTATAAGGTTTAAGCATAAAACTGATTGACATGTTACAGGCAGCTTGTGTCAGCTGTTGATTATCTGCACTCAAAATGTCTGTCACCGGGGTGTCAAATGTGAGAGTCTCCTTCTAAGCAGCAATGACTGTGTGAAGTTAGCCGATTTAGGGTTCACCTGGAGGTGCTGGGGTGAAGACAGTTATCATGTTCTGAGTCAGACATTCTGTGGTAGCTTCTGTTATACGTCGCCAGAGGTAATACAGGTGAGTACATGCTGCCTCAGTATGAGCATTATGCTGCCATAGAGCACTGAAGTTCCATACTTTTAACTTCCTGCATTTGTGGAAGGAATTAAGTAGCATAATCAGCAATTTAATAGGTTTGATATGTAGTGGTTGGCTCCTGTACTGAGAAGGTTCCGACTATGAACTCTTCAAGAATGATTCCCCTGCATTGAGTTTTCTTGAAAGGCTCTTTCTCATAGAAACACTGGGTGTGGGGCTCTATCAGACACCTCATACAAGTAAATCCAGTGCTTAGACCGCACTGGTATTTCTGAATGTCACAGTGTACTGGTGGTACTCAGGAAAATTCAGGGTTTGAATCTCGCACCAGAGAGTAGTTATGCTGAACATTTACTCAGTCTGTCCAAGGAAATTCTGCGATCATACATTACTATCGCCTGCCTAGGCTTGCATGATACATTCATATCCTTCCCAATCATGCAAATTACCATTTGACACAAAGTCCACAAATGGTAACATGCAAGTTTAAACTGACCTTCCACAAAGCTCTCATTAAATCTGTAATGACTAGGGACCGGATATTTATGCCATAATCCCTTAAATATGTATGCATTTATGCATGAAAATCTTCCGAAATATGCACATAAAAATTTATGCCAAATATTAAAATTGATTTTATATTATTTTAAGACCAACAAATCAATATTTAAGTTCATTTTATGTAATCACTGAATGATTCACTTGCAATAAAAAGCTATACTTAAATACAAATCATGCAACAAAGCCAACATATTTCATTACAAATTTAAAAAACCAATGGTACTCACATTTAGCTCTCCAAACTTTCAACTTCTCTTATGTTGCAGTTCACAATTACTAAATGTTTTAGGTTTTCCATAGTTAGTCGCCTCCTATTGTCTCGTAAGATGTTTTTCTAGCGGGAAACACTTCTTTCTTTTCACAGGAACTTAGGGCCACGTGTACAAAAGCCGCTATTTGCTCCACTGTTAGTGATTTTTTACTTTGCAGTTCAGTAAGTTTGCCAGCTAGAATTTCTTCAGTTTCACAAATTTGTTCATATCCTGGATTTTTTGAAAGAATGCTGTGTACTTTTTCCTTTACTACTTCACCAACTCTTCCAGGAACCGAATTCAATTTGGAAACAGTGGTTTTGAACAAACTTAACGACTGATACAAAGTAGTATTGCTATTGCTTGCCTCCAGTGAGGAAATGGCGGATGGAAGATGAGAGAAGTGAGCAGATATAGAGGAAAGATTAGTTTCTACTTCTGCATTTTTTAGTACATCTTGGGCAATTTGAATTGTTGCTGCATTTTTGGGATCAAATGTATTCATGACATTCCTAACTGTTTCTAAATGTTCGGTATAACTCGTTGCACACAGCCACGTGCCCCAGGGCATTAAAATTGGTTCTGGTGGAAGTGGAACATTCAGTGCTGCTGCTAAAGGCTTCTTTTCTGTATGGAGCTGTAACAGATATCTTCTTCACAGAAGACACCAACTTGTCAACATGCGGAAAATTTGCACAAATTGTTTCTGCAAAACGGTACAACCCATGGGCAAGGCAAGTCAAATGTGTCATATTTGGAAATATAACTTTAAGAGCAGTACCAGCTTTCATCATATAACTTGCAGCATCAGCCACAAAGAGCAGTACGCACTCATACTGAATGCCATTCAGCCATAGTAAATTCACGGAATTGATAAAAAATTTGGAAACTGCGGAGCTATTTGCGGTTTCAAATTCTCTACCGCAAGAAGATATGGGGTAGATTGTTCATTCTTATTATGGGATCCAACTATACAATTTGCAATAAACCGTCCCTCACAATCTTGTGTTTCGTCGATTGATACCCACACAAATTTATCTTGAATCTTATCTCTAATGCTTTCAATTGTAAAATCGTAACACTGTTTCACATATTTTTTTGCGCACAATAGATTCATCCGGCACTTTGCACTGTGTATACTTCTTTATGAAGTTTCTCAGAGTAGGATTGGTTAGTTTCCAAAGCGGAATATCTGCAGCTAAAAACGCTTCGCATAAATCAAAGGAAAACTGTGAAAAACTATTATTAGAAAATTCACTAAGCAATTTTTGAACAGGAGCACTTTTCATGGATTTAATTTTAATATTCTCTTTGTGCATATTAGTGTTCAAATGCTGAAGCACTTGAAAGCGTTTTTCACAACCAACTGTTTTCTCACACACTCGGCAATAAAGAATTTCGTTATCCATACTTATCATCTCCCCTTCGAACTCCCGCTGATACAGCTGTAATTTAGTTTTCTGACTTACTTTCCCTTTTGGCATGAGTACAGAAAGCTAAAGAAACTTAACTACAGACTACTCACCACTAATGTGAATGGCCCCCAACTTCAAATGAAGAAGTGTAATGAACCTCATGGAGACTTCGGAAATAAATAAGTGAAGTCCCTTATGGGTTGAATAGTATTACATTGATAGTGGCTGCAAGTGAACATTTCCGACTAATCTCTTCACGGCCACTTTGATGGTATGCAGATGAGGCAAGTTATGAGTAGAGGGATCGGGGAAGTCCCGTCCTGGGTATTGCATCAGAAACATGAATCATGATGAAATGTTGAGTCAAATATGCAACATATTCTAATACGTAAAAGAAAAATTGTATACACATGACCATGATTGAAAATTTGAACATAAAATTAAAAAATATATATGATAAACATTTTAAAAAGGAAATATGCAGTATAAATAGAGATTTTTGAAAATATTATGCTTATTCATAAAACAGGCAAAATATGCATTTATATGCACCATCAAACCATGTCCAAAATGTAAGAAATGAAGTAATTCATACATATATCCCAATGAGCATACTTTCTGGTTGCAAGAAAGAAATATGCATTTGCATTAAAATCCGGTCCCTAGTAATGACTTATGCAAGTCCCGCCTGGGAATTTGCTCTAGATACCCATCTAATGAAAATGCAGCAGGCGCAAAACAAAGTGCACACAAGTTCACGATTTGCATATGGCTTTCAAAATTCTATATCTATACGATTATATAAGAAAAGTAAGCAGGCAACAAGGAGAAGTCATACAAAGTCATGATAATGAAAATGTTCACAATATTGGACAAGGCGAAGCCCCACATAGAAAGTATAAGAAACTTAAACTTGGCAACGGTCAAACATACAACCATTCAAGTGACTAGACTGCCATTGTAGTAGAAGCTACTATAAAGAGGGCATAATCTGCGGTACTGAGCCCGGACTGACATAGGCCCTGTATATATTTAATATACATTTATTAACGTGTAAAATGTAAATATACTTTACATTATGACAAATGACTTACTACTGCAGACAATTACTCTGACAAAATATAGACCCGTCCTCTCGTCAGAGAGGGTGCCCCACAAAAATAAGACCCTAACTGTCCAAGCATATTCACAAGAGAAAAACCTGACTTCTTGTCTGAGAGGACGTTACATAAGGGCTATGACAGCAAGAGTTATGCTGGGGGGGGGGGATCTCTGGTCGTGAACCTCGAGGGGCTTGGCGCCAAGATAAACTGAGTGGTGGTAAACCACCAGTCATAAAGTAACACTGACATTGACAATGACTGAACTTAGTTGCAGGATATTTGCCAGCTGGCAAGGATGTTAGCAGAGTCACCAATCCAAAATCAGTCTATACTCACCCATTTTTTTTTTTCTTGGCACTACAGCCCCAGTGGGCCTAGGCCTACCTCCATGAACTTCTCCGTTCACTTCGGTTTTTCTAGATCTTACACATTTGGTAGGACTCCTTGGGCGGGTGATCAGCTTGTCGCAAGGCCTCTACCTGGAGACAAACACAGAAAAACGCACACAAACATCCATGCCCTTAGTGGGATTCAAACTCACGATCTCGGCTTCTGAGCGAGCGAAGGAAGTACATGCCTTAGACTGCTCGGCTACCGTGACCGGCATAGTCACCCATACAAGCGACAATAGTTTGTTAATATACATCAGCACACAGTCACTATCACACAAGAAACCAATAATCAAATATCCTACTTAGACTTACATATATCTGATATAAACAACATCAAAGCTGATATTTATTAGAAGCCCACCACATCAGACATTATAATAAACAACTAGTCACACCATTCATGAAGACAAATAACAGCTACAGTCAAAAATCTCTTACACAGAGTACATAATTCATCCCTGAATATCAAAAACAGATAAAAAACAAAACACTTCATTACTACACCTGAAAAAATAGATATAAAAGAGAAAAACGATCACAATTTAGAAGCAAATAAGAAGTAAAAGCTAGAGCTAAAAGGCACCGAGTGTGACTTGAAATCCCCTGGGTCATGGACATATGAACGTACATGCGTGCAGGTGTGTGTGTCTATATATATATATAGGTGGAGACCTTGTGATCCAGGGTCTCCTAACTATCAAATTTTTAAAATATTCTAAGTTTTAGGAGTTAATTCTAAGTTGGAACATTCCAGAGGGCCTAATCTGTAAAAGGTTAAGAGATTGATAGCTGTTCTATGATTTACATCCCCACCATTATTCCAGATAACTGAGAACTGAATGTAAATTGTTGTGCATTAAGTGAAAGACAAGACTGTCAAAGCTGACAAACAGCCATATGTTCAATTCCAGGCAGCAGCATGAGATTTTTCTCTTCTCCACGATGTAAAGCCAAGCTCTGAAGCCCACCCAGCCTCCTATCTACTGGATACCAAAGACTCTTTCCCCAAGCATAAATTCACTAGGAATTGAAGTAGACCACACCTCCATCTAGTACCAACATTAAAGATGCACAGAACTCCACCTCCATTTGCCCATGTTTTCTGGATATAGTGCTTAATTTTAATACAGAAGAACTTCACTTTACCATACCTTATAGAAAATGGATGCCAATTAAGAAAAGTACATAAAAGGGACATAAATTCTTTATTTACTTGATGTGAACTTTGTTCACTTAATAAAAATAATAAAATTCACA